AAGTAGTCACTAAGTTAGAATTATTTTACTTTAGCTTAACTGCACATAGTTCTCGGGTACCGAGCGTAACCTCTGCCCACAAATTTCTACAATTTATTGTAAACTGTTATAGTCTGTAACTTTGTTAAACATAATAAACATTAATACTGTGAATATATACTTATTCATTTCTAAGTGCAACCTCATCGTCACTCAAGCTCAACAACGAAACGTCGAAGCACGTCATTAAATAATTAAGTGTACAAGTGTAGTACGAGTGTACTACAACGGCCTTCCAAACAGCGTTCGCCTTTCGCGAGCACGGCGACGCGGCTTAAGAGTCATAGAATTGACACGATTTTTCATCTGAGTAGGTGGCTAGGTTAGTTAGGCGTTAGGATAGGTGACTCGAGGGTCGTGGTTTCGAAACCTCCGCCGGGATATTCGATAATTTGCGGCGGCTCTGTTAAATGGGAATTTTTTTTCAGCTTTTTTTTTCGTCGTTTTGCTATCACTTCCGTCACGAAAATGTTCTGATTTTTTTCAAAACTCGAGTTTTACCGCCTCTACGGACTTATAGTCTCTCCCGTAGACGACTTATTCGCGTTTTCCCCCTAAATTTATAGGCCGTGCTTTCTCCCGGACGAGTGCCGCGGCGGACGAGTCGATCAGCAGCGCTCTGCGTCGTCACGATTTCAACGATTTCAGGTCAGGACGTCGTTTTTTCTTATTATTGTTATTATTGTTATTATTGTTAATATTATTATGATTTAGGAGCGACACTGTAGTCTGCTATTCTACTACAGTACGACCGTTCTTATACGCGACATTATACCGGTGGAGTGATGGAGTGGATCCGCGGGGGAACAACTTTGGCGACGCGACACGCGTTCGTTTCGACCTGCCTGATCACGAGGTGACCGGCCCTCTTGCAACGCACATCAACTGTCACGGAAAAGCCTATTACTTTGTGTTATTAATTAATATTCAGTGCTTTCCTTTGACTTTTGTTATTCTGCATTGAGCGCTTATCACACACCGGTAAGTCAACTTTTATATCTACTACTATACTATATTCTATTCAGATAAACTACAGGTGCATTCATGGAGGCGCGTATCGCGAACGAACATAATGTTTACACCACCTACAGACATCGTTTTCCACTGTTTCGTGTTTTTTCCGTACACTTTGAATACCTATAGGTAACGTTTTTTATATCCTCATTCGTATTAGCTGTCGCCGAAGTCGACGTGTAAGTCCGTTGGCCGTTTCGGCGCGTTACCATTGCAGTACACGTGTTTTATCGCTATTTTTTGTGCTACTACGAGCTGGGTATGTCATTTTTCTATTTTTTATGTGCATCATTTTAGCCGGTGTGTACCTATTCATTCTAAAAATAACACAAGTCTCATACATCACCGCTGATAACAAACTGATACAGTCATTATATTCGATTGCAACGATTTTTTAACGAGTATTCAGCATTTACTTTTCATGATTATATTATATTCGTTTGTGATGTTTTTAGGCTATTCAAAATGGTCAAACGCTGCGCGCTATGGACGCTGTGGACAACAACGACGATGACGTTTCCGTACACAGGTATTTCACACAACACGTTAAATATCAATTTATCTATCATAATAAATTATGTGTCGCCACTTAGATTTCCAATCGCCGTACAACGTCGTCTTCAGTGGGTGGCATTTGTGGTGGACCAAGGTTTTCCCGTGAACCACTCATCTCAGCTGTGTTCGAGGCATTTCGTCCCATAGAGTAATATAGAGATGGCGTTTTGAAATAAATTGAAGCGACAAATGCCTCCTGTATACAGTGTTACCATGTTTTCCGAAAAAAATATTGTGCAATTACTATTTTATTGTTTTTCCATTTGGATGGTTCTTAGTTATACTTGAAATTATGATTTTAATAAAATATTCTTTAGGTATGTTTATTGTCCATAATATATTTATAACACAAATATTAATTAAATGTATTAATAATAATATTATTAATTTAATACAAATACAATATAGTTTATAATAACATTCAGTTTTAATAAATTTACATAAGTAATTATGATCAAAATATATTTAAATACAAATTATTAAGATTTTTATATCTTATAATTACAATACAGTTTATAATATTATTTTAATACAAATACAATATAGTTTATAATAACATTCAGCTTTAATAAATTTACATAAGTAATAATGATCAAAATATATTTATATACTAATTATTAAGATTTTTATATCTTATTATTACAATACAGTTTATAATATTATTTTAATACAAATACCTAGTACAAAAAAAACAATCGTTCAATTAATTAACAATTAGTGAAAAGTCAATAGTTTATTATATAATAATGTAAATAAATTATTTACCTTGGAATAAAGTAAGTTTATTGTACCACATGCGGAGTGACGGTTTTTCATTTAGTTTTTTGATACTATGGTTAATTTTTAATTTTGTGTATGTGGATGAAATTGATTTTATAAGAAGGATGGCATGATCTGATAATGGACTTAAGGATTCTGTTCTATGAATATTTAAAGAAGTAAATATGTGTGTGTTATGTAAAAAATTACTTAGAACTTTAGACTGCACTAATAAGGTATTTACGGCTTTATTTTGATAATCAAAATTCCGAAGAATTTTTTCTGTAAGAATACATATAGTAATGACATCATCACTGGGATATATCAGACCACCTTGGTTTTTAAGATTGATGAATGAATTTAAAAATTGTTGCTTATCGGTAGCAATCAGAGACTCAATACATGTTTCACATTTAAGACTTGACATCAATTTATGAACAACAAATCCAGCTATGTAAACTATTATTTCTTGAGCAAAATTACTGAAGGTATAAGTATCTTGCATTTTTATATAATCATGGTCATTAATAAAAGATGTCCCTTTATCAGAAGTTTCTCCATTTAAATCAGTATCAATTAGAGAACATGTATTATTTATAACCTTTACCGGATCTGTACTTGAGTAATGTAAAACACCTATATGTTCTAATGGAATACAATTGCCAGAATTAAAACTTGGAATATTGTTTATTCTTATCACAAGTTTCTTATATGCAGATTGAAATTGGCGAGCCGTTGGATTGTTGTTGAATCCACCAAGTGATCTGACATTACCAAAAAATAATTCTATATGGTCTTGACTAATTTTGTAAAGTTTAATATGATTCAGCTTTTTTGTAGCTATTAAACTAGAGTACAAGTGTAGTAAAGAATTGAAAAACACAATAAATCCAATGAAACCGGTTCTACGATTTGACTCCAATACAGGTGCAAAATTATTGTTTTCTTTGACTTTCAAACATTGGATATATTTTGTTATAGATTTGCAAACTCTAATATTTCTTTATAGTTTTCTTCACACATAGCTTTTTTTTCCCCTATACAATTTGCTGACCTAGAGTTCAGGATATCAAACCCAGCATTGAACATTTCAATGAATTTTATTGTTGCACCAGCTTGCAAAAAATCAGGAAGACACAAGTTATTTTTTAAGAATTTAAGAGCATCAGCTACTGACTGACTGATTAACTGTGTAGCCAGCTTAACTTTCATTTTTTGCTTATGATAATGAATATGTTGTTTTCTCAACTTGTTGGCCAAATGGGCTCCTTCTGTTTCCTGAAGAACACATAACTTTTGTATAAAACTAAAATCAACTATTTGGTTATCTCCATCCATAAAAATTTTTTTTTCGCCAAAAGCATTTCTTACGAGTTTTATCATATGCGCTGGATCAAAAAATACAGCTACTTCAGTATTATTATTGTTAGTAGATTGTGCAACAAATGTTGTATCTAATGTGTTAATATTGAAATTGCAACCTAACAGTTTGGCCATTGTAATATTAGATGAGCAACCATCAAAAGTTAAACTTATTATATTAATACCAGTTTCTTTCAACAAACTCAAAGCATGTTTTAATAGTTCACATTTTTGAGAACTATTTAAACTTGAGGTAAAAAAATAGCCTATAGGAATCTTCCAGTCTTCGTTAACTGCTACAACCATAAAGACAAAACACTCTTTTGCTATGTCTAAGCAGTCATTATTCATTCCATTACCAAGATTAACTTGCCCATAATATTTATTTCCGTCATACTCCAAATGTTGACGAATAGCCATTTCATCAACCATAAGGCTGCAATAAACAGGATAAGCTGAGTGTTTTACTTTAAGCGATAGAGTTTTCAAAGCTTCATGCGTAAAACCAGGCTCAGCGTTCATGTGAGAATACCATTTTGATAGAGTACGAGGGTGTGGAAGTATAGTGCTAAATTCTTTTCTAACATAAGCATAAGCCTTGACAGAAAAAAAATGAAGGGATAAAGCGAATTGGCGTAAAGCAGGACTATATTTTCTAGGAAGTGGTTTCCCAGCATTTTTGTTTGCCCAATTGGTAATCAAATCACTATGCTAACCAAAAGATTCCAATAATGTGTTGGTGGCTTCATCATTGATTAGATTTTTCTTCTGAAGATTATGAATTATAGACTTCAAGGAAGCAATTTTCTTACTCTGACGTCTTGCTGTTTGTTGGAGTAACTTCAACTTTTTGTTCTTCAGTTTTACTTCATCTGATAACTGACGAACACCACGTTTTAAAAATAGCCGTCTGGGAGTATCGCAAGAATCAATCTTAGAAGCAGCCACAAATGATGAAATTAAATTTTTCTAAAATATATAAGATCATATTATAAACAAATTAAAATAGATAATAAAGATGAACAACAACAAATACCGGTAAAGTGCACGATTTATCATGTTCAGATATATTTAAGAAATTTGAATTCTCAGGTGTTAATGGCATCACTCCACATTCATTAATATCATCAACATTAATGGTAACAGACACGTCTTTAGAGGTATTCAAATAACTTGAATGTTTAGGGGTTAAAGGAGATATTTCACTTTCATTAACACTAATAGGAATCTATAAATTAAATTGAATGTATATTATTATTAAACTATGTTAATTAAATAGTAAAACCAACTACTTGATCTTCATGTTCCTTGGCGCTAACAGAGGTGTTTGTATTTGAGAAGGTAGATTTGTTGAAATCTGATACTGATTCTCCATTACAAATAACATAATCAGGTACCTAATAAAATATTATGGCTTAAACAAGAATGTTAAAATGTATTCAAATTTAATCAACTATGTAATAATAACAAATAAAATAAATATTAATTTCAACCTTTTGGTTTTATTTTGATTTATTTATCAAGAATAGTTACCTAACTGCTACAACAATAACTAACTGATATAAGTGTATTTTATTTAATAATCAAATAACTTATACAAAATAATCTAACATAATATAATAATATAAACAATAATATATAGGTATCTAATTTTGTAGAATAACATAAAATATTGTACCTTTATCAGGGTCTGTGTTACTTTAAAACTACTTTTTGGTTCATTATCAGAACACACAATTGGCTGATTTAGTAGTTTGACTTCTTCGGAATACAAATTTCTAGCCTAAAATAATCATATTATTAAAATTATGAATAAATTATATAAATTATTTACACTTTTGACCCTTAAAATTATTTTTGATGGTACTGCATTTCCTACTAAGAATCTTTTATTATTCCGCATCACAAAACATGTCTCAAGAAAATGTTTTGAACAAACAACAGAATATTTATTTATACTATGTAGGATATTTAATTTATTTTCCAAAACAAAATTCTTCCATTTGTCTCTAACTTTTTCATTAACAGGAAACCTATAAATTAAATAAGTGTTGTTATATTAATAATTAATATTATTAGTTATGACCTTATGACCATGTTATCAAATACAACAAAATATAATAAATTATACAATAAGTTTATACTCACTTATGAAAAGTAATATCTTCAATTGTGGAATTTTTATTCCTTGTTCTGCCACAAACAAAACAACTAGGCATTTTGGCTGAAGATAATATAATATATATAAATTAAAAATCGAAAAACAAAAAATGAAAAAGTTAGAATTGACTCTATGATAATTGCAATATCATATTATCAATTTACAAAAGTTGTAATGATTTGCAGCGCGATCTACACGATAAGATTATTGTAAACTGCCTCCTCGATGGTTTCAACTTGATTCTACTGTTTATATACAAAACGCCATCTCTATATTACTCTATGTTTCGTCCCCGGTATCGACTACGCTGTGGGAAACGCGCTGCGCCGCCGTTTGAGGCCCGCAGCAGTGCCGTCTTTGGTGAGTATATTCATTGCAGTGCACCATGCCTGTATGCCCGTCTGGCTGGACTTCTAATACTAATACTGTTGTGTACTCTCATGGGTTTAATGTACCTACTGTGTCGTTCAAACTTGTGGCTAACGACAAGCAACCTAACTTCATTTGATAACTTAACTCAATGACATTCAACGTTTTTGTTGCAACATAATGCATATAAGCTCACACAAGTATACTAATAAACATGATAATCGTGTCTTTATCATTTCAAGTTTGATCAATTTTCACAACATTTACAATATGGAAATTACTTAATATAATGTTGGATAGTGTAGTCCACTGTAGTATGTAATTGTCAACATCCCTTACATGCTTAATTATTCACTATGCTTTTAGATACATATTATTGTTTCTGTACATAACTGCTTATGCTATATACCTACCTACTATACTATACTGGCTCGGTACAACATTCTTGAAAACTATTATATATAAACTATTGTATAGAAATTAAATTGTAGAATAACTTGAACGACATTCATAGGTGTTACTGCTGTTTCAGATTTCAATTGCATATCAAACACTGGGTCGAGCTTATTTTCATACTTTGCCTAAAATTATAACTATACTTATAAACTTATAACTATACTAATATACTATCAACTTTTACTATATTGACCTAAACGGAACTCTTGACACAATACAATTTTTCTTAATGTTACTACTACACAAAGTAGGTATTACCTCTCCTTTTTTTTGTGAATTGTGTACTGGATAAGTGTTTTCTTATTTAGATCATTTCAGTACTTTGTTTACTTTATTTATACAACTAACTTTGTTTGTACTGCAGTGTTACTTATTTGATAAATATAGGTGCACTTGATTTTATTACACACCATGTATGATATTTTAATGTAACATAAACTAGGTAAAATGTACTAAGTACTTTTTTGTACTAAGTAAAATTTTACAGTCGTCAACTATTGGTTTAAAAAATGCTTCTGAAAAAGTTCAGTGCACTATAACTGTACTACAGAGTAATAGAACTAATTGTATTTCTGAGTTTGCTAAATTGTATTCAGAAGTACAACAATTGGCATCTGGATTAGATATTGATTTAAAAATACCAAGAATCAATAAAAAACAAACACACAGAGAAAATTATAATTCTCAGATCATTGATGAATATTATCGTATAAGCATGTTTATTCCATTGTTGGATTCAATAATTGAAGATCTTAAAAGACGCTTTACATTACCAAGTATGGAAGCTTATGATTTAAGTTTATTTATACCAACAACTTTTTTGCAACAAAAAATGTACTGTACCTCAGAATATCAAGATAGAGTATCTAATGTATCAAAGAGATTTTCTTCGATTGAACCAAATATACTTCATGGCAAAACTATTTTAGGTAGGTACCTAAATATAAATTGTATATCCTAGTTTTCCATTGATATAAATTTTTTAAAAGTGTATTAATTATAATTTTTATTTTAGGTGAATTAGAAATCTGGTGCCAAAAATGGAAAATAATTGCTGAAGAAGGAATTGAAAAATGTCCTGATAATGCAATAGAAGCCTTTTCTTCTTGTAATGCTAAAGTTTTTCCAAACATCAAATCGTTTTTACAAATATTATCTACAATGCCTGTTGGAGTAGCATCGGCTGAAAGAAGCTTTTCCACTCTTCGCAGGATGAAAACTTGGTTGCGGTCTAGGATGGGTGAAACGCGGCTAACAGGTCTTTGTTTATTACACGTGCATAGGGAAGTAAATGTAAACGAATTAATACAATCTGTCATAGAACGCTTTGCCAATAAAAAACAGCGACGTTTAGACTTTGTTTTGTAAACTGCAGTAAACTATAGCCATCGTAAGAACGCTACTCGTTCGCGCATCCAAATGACCGAGCTCCGCAGTTTCGTACCCAAATTACTCCCACTTTACCATCTAGTCGCCGCCGTAAATACCCCCACTCACTACGTGCGTAGCGGTGGTAGTGGCAGCGACAGTAGCGATGGCGGCGACAGTGGCGGCGGCCAGCGTTCGGGAAGGTTTATTGGTGGGAATGCGCGAGATCGGACGAATTTTGGTCGCCGCCCAGTAGCGTTCTTACGATGGCTATACCATATAAAATATAAATTTATGAGATATTGTGTAAATGTTGTAAAATATTTTTAACTTTTGCCCCCCCCCCCAAATTAAGCCCTGGCTCCGCCACTGTCACTTACATATTATGAGCGATATTTTCTTTACATTGTGTGTACATTTGTAGAGTTAATACAATCTATACTGCCCCATGCTTAATTCATACTTACATATATTTTTAAGACCAAAAATTATGATAAATGCATTTGACTCGACTATTAAAACTGTTCTATTGCCATTTAATAATTTGAAATTAACCTAACCTGTGCAGTGACTATTGTACTTTTACAATTCCAATAACTGTTAATTACTACTAATGAACTATTATTAAATATTTATTATAACCTATTCATTGCCTTAAATTAACATTTTGTCTTACTAACGAATGTTTAATTAATGTGGACATATGCATACATACATAATACACTTAAATATAATACTAATGTACCTACTTATATATATTATATATATATATGATGAGAGTAACTGTGTACTATAACTAATAGTTTTTTTTTATACTTTCACCTACACAGTACACACTGTGTTCTGTTAGTGAACTAATTAAAAAAACTTTACCTCAACAGAACAATTTTATTTTACTTATTAGTTTTCCCTTTTGTCATTTGACTTAACTATTAAATGTGTAATCGAATTTGACAACTGATTCAGAACCATTCATATGCTATGAGTATGACTAAACATAATTTCAACTAAGCTCTGTGCTTTAACCACTTACTCTGTGTTACTAGGTACCTACTTAAATAAGTTTTATTACATTTATAGTAGTTATAAGTATATTGGTAAGAAAAATATTTTTTAGGGTTAGGTTAGGATATTTAAAGCACTACTACATTATATTAATATATACATACACACTGTAGTTAACTACATTATTACATAAATACGTTTGTTCCTTTACTTTTGATTTGCTCATTGTTTATTGTTTTTATTATATATCGTATCCTCAACCATCCTAACTATTTAATGTGTAACTGTTAATTATACATTACTACTTATGAACGGTATTAGAGTTAAAGTTTAAACGTAAATTTTAAATGTTAAACTTATGTATTAAGCTTAAAGATATTCAAGTATGATTGCCTTAAACTAATATTTTGTTTTACTTTAACGTACAGACTGTGTTCTGTGAGTTAACTATAGCATTACATGTATTACAATTTTACTGCTTCAGTACCATTAATTTACTACTCAACATTAAAGACATGTAGATACTTTACTTTTTGTTTTAATTATTACTTTAATACACTGGCTAACTCTTAGTTACAACTTACTTTATTACTATCATTATTGTTCATGATTATGTTTACTTCTTAAGTATAACATTAGAAGCATTATGTCAATGAATGTTATGTCAGTTATATACACATTGAATTCTATTACCTTGATTTACACGTGCTCAAACCTAAACTAACTATCGTTATTGCTGAGTAGGAATTTTTGGAATTCATTTAATGGGTTCAAATTACTTATTGTTACGATGTTTTCTATAGATTTTTCGTCATCGTCGTTTATTTCATTAGTTATTAATTTATTTGAATTTGTTGATTTGTACCAATTTTCTACAAAATCTATATAATTATTTTTCTCAGTCTGCTTTTCTTTGTTAAATTTTGAGTTGTCGCCTTTTGTATAAATATTATTTGTTCCCCGAGTAAGATATTCCGATTTTTCTCTTTGCTCGGGTGATATTCGTTTTTTGAAAAATTGCAATCGCTAGCATAGTGTCCTTTATTATTGCATTTGTAGCATGTTATTTTTTCTCTTCTGTTAAATCCTTCCGGCGTCGTGGATCTTGAATATCTTTCTCTGCTGTTTTCCCTACTGTGCTGTTTCCTACTTATGTCATTTTCACGATTTCTGTTCTTATAACTATCTCTATCTCTGGATCTGTCGTAGGAGTTTTCCCTATTTCTTGAGTCAGACCTATCTCTATTATTGCTCATTTCTCTACTGTTATTTCTATATTTATTGTTATTGTATCTATCTCTACTGCTTTCTCTGAGCTTATAGTTGTTGTACCTATCGGAATAAGGACTTTTTTCCCTATAATTGTTCCTGCCTTCGTGATCTGTTCTTCCTGGATATGGACTTTGGTCTCTGTATTCACGTTGTCGTCCTCGGTAATTTGTTTCTCTATTATAACTTCTGCTCCTATCTTCATTATAATTATAATTTTTATTATTATATCGATTATCTATTTCTTCATCATCGAAGTTTACTGATTTATTTCTTCTTCCTGTAATGTTGATTTGTTGAACATTTTCCCGTAACTGGTTCATCTCCTTTTTGTATTCTCTATCTCTTTCTATTAACTGTCTTTTTAGTTCATCATTTCTCTTCCTTTTTCTTTTGTTTTTTGGTTTAGTTGAGATACATGTTCATTAAGCATTTCTGTATAATCACTTAATTCTGGTCCTCTGTTATTAATTCGAAATTGCATCAATTCAAATTTTTTTAAATTTTTCTTTAGTTCCTTTAGGTTGCTATTGTCGTGTAATGAAATCGCATGTAAGACTGTCTCTTTTAATCCCTTTAAAATATAAGTGCAAATTTCTTCTTCCTGCATATTTTTATTTAGTTGTCTACATATATTTTCTATTGCTGTTACAAAACTCATTATAGACTCTGTATCTCCTTGACGTCTATTTTCTAATCTAGTTTTTAAAATTGTATTGTAACCCATTGGTTGAAATTCGTCGAGAAACTCCTGTTTCAAATTATTCCATGTCCAATTATTATGTTTGTCTTCCAAATTTTCCAAAAATATACTTGCTGTGACTTTTACGAATATCGATAAAAATCTTACTTTATCTTCGTCCTTCCAACCGTTTACATCTGCTGCTTTTTCGTATTGCTTGAAATATTTTCTTACGTCCTCATTACCTGAGAACTGGTCTGGTCTAATCATTAGAATTTTTTGTGTTTGTTTATTTAATGGAGTAGAATGAATTTCAGAGTTTAGGTTATCTCCTTTTTGATTATTTATTGCTGTGTTTTCGTTTTTGAATTTTGGTTTTTCCCTTGTGTTATTAGAATCAATAGTTGTTGAATTATTAAGATTTATTAATTTATTTTCAATAATCTCACTATTTTCTGGTTAAGTATTTAATTTTAATTCCTCATAAATATTATTAGAAGTATCATTAATCTTAAGATTTTTTAATATATTTTCATAAGTATCAGAACTTTCTTTTTGACAATTTTGGTAAGTTATATCTGAATTTTCTAGAATATTTTTGGTGTTATTCACAAATGAGCTTGTACTGGCATTAAGATTATCGTATAATTTTAAATTATCTTTTGATATTTCTGAAAAGCTGTCTGAAGTTAATTTATTAATTGTATTTGTGTCAGTGCTTGAATCGCTCGAATCGAGTATTCCTGCTTCTTTTTCTAATTTTTTAAAATCGATTTTATTAGTTTTTGCTTTGATTAAAATTAAAGCGCATTCTTCTTTGCTTAATGTGTTATCTATGTCGTCTAATGTTATGGTGCCTTTTAAGTATCTACTAAGTCTAGCTCTTAATTCACTAGTTGTACCTGTTGATTTTAATTTTTTATTTTCGCAATATTTAATAAGAAATGGTTTTTTGAGAGTATAGATTTCTGTTGCAGTATTTATTGTTATTGAAAGATCCGATTTAGGGTCTTTAAGTTGATTCATTAATTTATAAAATTTGAAAAATTAATTTAAATAATCCTAAATCTATACTAGGACATTTTAACGGTTTTTAATTATGTTTATCTACAATCTCAGTTATGCGTTAACCTCCGTCGAGTGCGGTCGATGTCTACATAGTTGTTACCTGTTGCTTATCAGCGGTTTGTTTTTCGTATTTATAAATTTAACGTAATTTGTGCGTATAATGATCTGCTTAATTTGCAACGAAGAAATCTACAAGGGAGACGAGTTAAAATGTAACAAATGCAATGAATTCTTACACTTTGGCTGCGCAGGACTTAGAGAAACTATATTTCGTAAAATGAAAAGTGAGTCAAAAGAATTATGGAACTGTTCTAAATGCAAAAATAATAAAGATCTTACCAAACATAAGACTAGCTCTTTCTCGGATTCTACTATTGAAAGTTTAGTAGAATCCGTTGAATTTATGAGTGGACAATTTGAAAGTTTCAAAAATCAAATGAAGGACATTTTATCAACTTTGGGAGAACTACAAACTGAAAATAAGATTATCAGAGAACAAAATATGAAGAATAAAGAGGAATTAATTTTACTTAATAAACGTATAAATATTCTAGAACAGAAGTCGCTTGAATGTAATGTTGAAATTATTGGAGTTCCCGAGGACAAACAAGAAAATTGCGTCGAAACTATAAAGCAAATTGCTTCAAACTTAAAAGTTGAGCTTTCAGTACAAAATGCTTTTAGAGTTTATTCGGGTGATAAAAACAAAATAAGAAAAATAGTTGCTACTATTAATTCTAAAGAAAATAAACGGAACCTTATCAATGAAGCAAGAAAATCAAAACTAACAACAAAACAAGTTTGTGAGAAATGGGATAACGCAAATATATACATCAATGAACAATTAACACAAACAAATAGAAATCTTTTCTACAAAACTAGAACAAAGGCTCGTGAGTATGGTTATAAATTTACTTGGTTCAAAGATTCTAAGATCTTCGTTAAAAAATCGGAAACTACAAATGTTATTTTAATAGATGAAGAAAAATCTTTACTTAAAATTGTTTAACTTACTATTTTAATTGATTGTATAATAAAAAAAATAAATAAAATAAAAAAAAAAAATAATAATAATAATAAAAATAAAATCATGAATATTCTCAGTTCAATTAACTCATATTTAAGCTATAAAACAAAGTACTTTAACTCTATATCGGATTTTGTGAATAATTTTAGTCTATACGAAAAAAATTTACTAAATATATTTTGTATTAATATAAGAAGCATAAATGCTAATTTTGATCAGTTATTGCTATTTTTTGAAAATGATGTCAATTTTTATCGCGTAGATGTAATTGTACTAACTGAAACATGGCATGATGTAAATAATTGTAATTATAATTTGCCTGGTTTCCAAATGTTCTTTAGTAAGATAAAAAGAAATAAAAATGATGGTATTATTGTTTTCATAAAAAACAATCTCTCCGTAGATTTCAATGAATATTGTAACGAAGTAGCTAATATATTAAACTTAAAAATTGTTGATAGATCATGTAATGTTCCAATTAATGTTTTATGTATTTATAGGTCACCGTCTCTGGATAGTGGTGAATTTTTGGTATATCTTAATAACTTAATAATCAACGATAATTCGCTACAAGACAGAACCCTAATAATAGGAGATATTAACATTAATATTATTGGTAATGAACACGTAAACAATGAATATTTAGATATGCTATCTTTAAATGGTTTCAGCTCATTAATTAATGTATACACAAGACTCCCACTAAACAAAACACACTCCTGTCTTGATCACATATTTTTTAAATGTAGTGATGATACGTTATTGAATAATACTCAATCAGGTGTTATACAAATTGACATAACTGACCACTGTCCAACTATTGCATCAATCCCGCTAGTAAAATATGAACCTCAAAACAGTAATAAAATAAAGCATATTAATTACAGCTTAATTAATCTTTATCTGGAGAAGGAGACTTGGGAATGTGTTTATAATGAAATTAATATTGATATTGCAGTTAAAAACTTTTATGATAAATTAAATTCCGTTATTGAAAAATGTACGAGTGGAAAAAAAATAGTTTCTAAAAACAAAAGAATTAAAGAGTGGATGACTGCAGGCTTGTTGTGTTCGACACGAAAAAAAAATGAACTTTCGATTAAAATCAAAAGACACCCATTAAATAATGCATTAATTAAATATTATAAATCATACAGGAATAAACTTAATACACTTATAAGAGAGGCCAAAATCCATTTCTATAAAAACAAATTTAACTCGGTATCGTCTAATCCAAAAGCTACATGGAAACTAGTTAATGAAGTAGTAGGTAACATGGCTAATAATAAAGACACTATAAAATTTTTAGAAATTGATAATAAAATAATTGATGTTAATAATGAAACAATTAAAGCATGCAATGCATTTAATGAATATTTTACTACAATTGGCTCACAATTGTCTAAGAAATTTATTAAATCGCATCAGATAGAAGTACTTTGTCCTAATGATAATAACTTTGATACCATTTTCACTAAACCTGTTGATAAAGATGAAGTAATTATGTTAATTAATAATTTAAAAGATGAAACGGCAACAGGCATTGACAAAATATCGGTAAAACTAATAAAAAGTATATCACGATTTATATTAAATCCAATAATTTTTATTTATAACAAGAGCCTAAAAGAAGGAATATTTCCATCACAGTTCAAAACAACAATTGTTAAACCAATATTTAAAAATGGGAATAAAAAACTAGTAAATAATTACAGACCAATATCGATGATCAATAACTTAGCAAAGATTCTCGAAAAAATAGTAAAGTCAAGATTAATGGCCTTTTTAGAAAATAATAAACTTCTTTCGAAAAATCAGTATGGATTTAGACCGGGATTAGGAACTACAGATGCGCTATATATGGTCTCAAAAAATATTTATGATGCTCTAGATAATAATAAAAAAACAATCGCTGTTTTTTTAGACTTTGCGAAAGCTTTCGATACCGTTGATCATAATGAATTACTAAACATAATGCCTGGTTTTGGTATTGTTAATGAAAGCTTAAAATGGTTTTCAAGCTATTTGAGTTATAGAAGACAGATGGTTACGATTAACGGAATAATAGGTAATGATTTTAAAATAAATTGTGGTGTACCACAAGGAAGTGTACTTGGTCCAGTTCTATTTATAATTTATATAAATAGTATATGTAATATGCAACTTGACGGTTCAATAGTTACCTATGCGGATGATACGTGCTTATTATTTTCAGATAAAACATGGGAACTAGTACAAACGAAAGCAATTAATGAATTAAACTGTTTCATACAAAAACTCAACTATAAGAAAATAACTATAAACTATAATAAAACTTTCTTTATGGCATTTTCAATTTATAATTTATCAAATTTTACAATACAACATTTTAAAGTTTGTAACTATGATAACAGAGACACTCCAACCTACTCCACAATCAATAGAGTGACTAAAATAAAATATTTAGGTTTGATGTTTGACTGCAATATGAGATGGAATATACATGTATTAAATATAATAACTCGACTAAGGACGATTACGTTTAAATTATATAGCTTAAATAAATTAATATCTAATGACACGATGAGAATTGTATACATGTCACTATACCAGTCCATATGTCAGTATGGAATAATTGTATGGGGTGGTACTACAGATAATATACTTAATCCACTATATACACAACAAAATAATGCAGTTCGTACATGTCTTAACAAAAAAAATAAATCCGGATCCACTAAGAACAATTATGTAGAACTTAATGTTTTACCGATAAGTCTCTTGTACAAAAAATTTGCTATATGTCATACTCTAAAAAAATATTCTCCGCCGAATGATATAAGAAATAAGCGTGAAACCATAGCTTATGATATTAAGATTAATTATCCAAAAAAAAATATAGGCCAAAAATTCATCGACTATCTGGGACCAAAACTATTCAACACCTTAAACTTTAATGTAAAAAAATTCTTAAGAACAAATACTAAAATTAATGTAAATAGATATATAAGTGAAACATTGTTACATGAGCTTTAAAATACTTGTAAACTTTGTATATTATATAGGTAGGTACTCTATGTATATAGTATATATGATCTGTGTATTAAGTTTTTTAAAAATGCTGTACTTATATTTAATATTTTTCTTTTCTTTTTTTTCTCTTTATTTGTACTTTTTTAAATCTGTTTTCATTAGT